CAGGTCATGTACGGGGAGGAAACATTCTCCTACTTTTTTCTATCTTTTTTGAGCTGCTGAGCTAGATGCGGGCAATTATCAGAGTACACTCAAACACAACCGTATTGCACAGAAAAGGTTCCAACCATATGCATGTTGCATTACTAATGCACAAAATTAACAAAGATTAGTCAAGAACAAAAGAAAAAATGCAGAAATCAGAAGTAGAACAAAGATTATTCAAGTGATTACAAAAGGAAGATTTTGCCCAAAAGAGAAAAAAAAGAATCAGTTTTTCATGCAGATTAGTGTTTTCCATACAAGACCACTGCTTTTATATCATCATATCATTATATCGTATCTTACCAAAAATCAAAAGAAAGTAAAAAAGGAAAGTTTAACTTTTTAAAGGCAAATTTTCGACATTCCGGTATCGATAACAATCCTGGATGACTGCGTACCGGCGTTGCTTGATCTTATGGAAAAACGTGTCGGTGGTAACCTGAATTTGGTGAATCCTGAACCAATCAGCCTAACTCAAATCCTGGAGCTATACAAAGAGGTTAGCATTGTAGCACTTGTGTAATAAATATGTTAAAAAGTTATGATGACACGTCAAAACTGATTTCTTTTTGCTTGATTATCATACAGCAGCTAATCGCAAAAATTCAAAATAATCAAAGTCCTCAAGTGCATATCACTATTTATTTTTAGCAGCTGCAGAAGAAAATTAGGCTTTTCAGAGTAAGATTGTTCCGAAGATTATTTGTTTGGTTCCTGCTTGCTTATTTCCTCGAAAATTTCGGCTTCTCTGAGTTGTATCCTGTCGCGGCGTCCCTAAAAGGTGAATCTTGCATTGGCTGGAGCCTTGCCATTAGACAGTGAAAAGGCAAAATCTCTAATGGCTCAGGTTTTTTTTTGGAAGCAGTATTTTCGAAATTTCTTGCTTTTATGTTGGGGAATTGATTGCAGATTGTCTGTCCGGATTTGCACCACTACGAAGTGGTTGATGCAACCAGTGGTAAAGGCCTAGAACTGTGTGCAACGAAAGGCAATTGTACCTTAGATGCAAGCAAACTGGAGGAACTCTGTCCAGGTATTCCGAACAGTTTTGAAAGTCTGCGAAGAGGATTCTTGCAGATGAGAAGAAAAAACATATGATTTCTGTTTCGATGACCTGCATTCCTGCCTGATTTTGAGCATGATGATAAAAATTTTGCATAATATGCTGTGAGGCTAGTCGTGAAAGCCTCACACATGCGCCAGAACTGTTGTATAATAAGAATGACATTCGCATTTTTGCGTATTTGTTAATCGGCAATGATAGTCGGCGCTCGTGTCTTTCAAACGTTCTCACTTGTTACTTACTTTGCCGTTAAGGTTTGCTTATATCTTTTCTCGTGAAACGTTATCAAGAGACACTGGTGAAATAGTCTTTTTTCTTTCCGTCGCGCCTTCTGTTCATACTTTTTAAACTAAAACTTTTATATGTTTTTAGAAAAATTTTGTGATGAAGTCGACCAGGCTCTAATTGTGATTTTTGGGGGAATCTTTTCACCGGTTCATAGTAAACATACAAATGTACAAAGATATTTTTAATGCATTTTCTGCTTTTAAGCAGTGCCAAAACGCTGTAGAGGGATTATCTGTGTGTGTGTGTGTGTGTGTGTGTGTGTGTGTGTGTGTGTGTGTCCGTATTCGTGCGTAACTTCTGTCCGCATCGATCTCCAGATCTACAAAGTTATGAAATCGAAAGTCTGGCAAAATTCTACTATTGTACAATATTCATGTCTCCTCAGTTCTTCTCCTTTACGGATTTTGTACGTTTTTCGCAGCTATGCAATGCAGAAAACGCATATTGTCGAGGGGTCCGCGTCCAAGTGGGTATTAACAATCTCAAACCCAACCCAAGGATAAGCGCGGCACCCAAGTACGGGCTTGCCAAAGCTTTTTTCGAGTAAGTTTATAACTCCGGAATCTGAGAAGCTAGAATGCT